GCTACAAGGTGGGGCTCGGTTCCGTTGCAGGGACATTGAACTCTGCTCCTCCTACAGATAGCCAACCCAAGCCCGCAGTGTTGCTAGCAACGAAGAAACGAAACATTTCGTTTATGAAATGCACTGGATATCATCAACCGTCGAAGCAAAAATAAAGAAGGTGGCCTCGTAAGGGCTTAATTGGATGGGCAGGCACTAGACGCTTCATCGGACGAGCAGGCACTACAAAGTAATGCCGCGGGTGTCAACAGGGCATGGAAGAGTAGGAAATACTTCTTCCTGAAAATATGAAATTGAACATTCTCAAAACAATAGAGCAAACTTTTTTTAAATCAATACTATTTGGATAGAGGAGTAGGCATTTAGAACGCTTACACACCAGTAAATGCCCAATGCCCTGTATGACTTATTTCTGACAGGGTGAATGGCCTAAGATAGAGAGTAGAAAAAATGATACGTTTTGAAATGATGAAAGGACGCACGAAAACAATTTCACGCACGTAAGTGAAGTCTATGAAGGTTCAACAATAATGTTCTGGCTGGATAGGATTAGAGCCGACGTCGGTAACGTCCCTTCGCGACCCCCGGTATAACGCTTGCTCTCTGGCCTTAATCAACTACAGCAGCGAGCTTTATAGGTATTCTCATTCAGTAACTGCCAAGCTCGACCATCTGCCGGTTAATATGGCTAGAAGAAAAGGGCGAAAGACGAACATTGGTGTCCCTGTCCGCCTAGTGAGGCAAAGCCAGAACACAGGCGAGATGTTTCAGGGCGGGAAAAGTACGTAGCAGCCTTGGATGCAACGATCAGCTGTGAAACGCTCACCTGAAGGTGATGCCGCTTGCATCTGCGCAAGTCTGCAAAGTCCATATATCAGTCCCTGAAGAATACTGCCTGTTCGCAGCTCACTCAGGATTCACACAGAATTGCTAGCGCATCAATTAAAGATCTTAACAAAACAGGCAGAAGCCAGTTCTACCGCGCAGTTCCTTGCATGCCACAAACAGTCATGCAAAGAGAACGAAGCTGTTCTCCGCACACCCTGTTGTACCTGAAAACAAAAACGCCTAAACAGGTCTCTAAGCAAACGGACTTAGAGACCCCCACACGATCATTTGTTTCGTTAGAAGCCTGGCCACATCTGAAAGAAATGGCAAGGTCCTCGTTTTCGCTGACAAGCAGGACATGTACCTGCACTGTGTTGCGCATACGAACAACCAGCAGAGCCCCTCCCGGTTTCAGGTTTTTACTGCGAGAGCTGCAGATTTAACTTGGCTGCTTCTGTGCAGCCCATGCATTCTACAAAAAAGAGCTTGCACCCGGCAGAATGTGACTTCGCTGTGGTATGTTTCGTGGCGATCGAAGCACACCATAGCCCATTTAGTAAACATCAAACGTATTTCAAGCCAAAGGATGCAACTCCTGGAACGGCGTAACATATGCGTGCGACATTGGCCACCTTCTACGGAGCAAAGAGGTCTCGTAAGCGGCGCACTGATGCTAACTCCAGAGCAATCAGCTAGCCACTAAATACGCGCAGAGATACTTTAAACGGTTGTTCATTGTACTTTTAAACCTTCTGAAGCACAACCGTACGCCTAGACCCAAAGCACGCTGCACAAGTCATGCACGAACTCCGCCATTTGGTGGACCTCCCTTAAAAGCTTGTTCACCGGCCGGAGCTCAACCTAACGTGTCCATGTCAGCTTGTCGAACTGGGAGGCAGAGTTGCCATGAGGCATATAAATTGGAGCGACTTATAGAGTCGTCCATGATGTTCGTTGGTGCGTCAACAATTCTCTCCGTGGAAGCTCTGTGTCCTTCTGAAAAGACTAGCGTGNGTCCTACGCTTGAAACCAACAGAAGCTTTCCGTTCTTTAGCTACAGTACAGACTTCCAATAATAAACGCCTAATAGGAGCCGCTGCGATATTCTTATTATTTTTTCTGAGTGGTTAATGCAAAAGACTGGCCTAAGCGTATGCCTAGCTCCTAATGCTTGTTGTGCTCAGCATTGTTCGTTTTTTGCATCAATACTGCCTACGGCTGCACGCGCTCTCAAGCTCCAAAAACAGAGGTTGCATAGTTGGCAACGAAAAGAGCCGACCATAGGGAACGAACGCATATATGCAGCCCACTAAAGGCTGGCAGACTGTTCTGTGTGAATAGTCCACTGTGCTTCCATCAACTGCGCCTCGATTCAAAGCTAGGCATCATTGGGACTGCTGCCACTCTTTATCATCAGCCATGAAATGTGCCCATGGTCCTCTTCTGAAGGCTGGAACTGCAGGTGTGCAGAAAAGCATTTGCTTCAACGGAACCAATGCTGACGGTGGAGGGCGCGCGCCACATTTATAAAACTCCAAAGTATTTTGCAATAAATGAGCCAACAGCACATTCTGCCTCCCTCTCCCTAGCGGAACAGTAGATGCAATCGGACCCGCATAAACCGGAAGTGCGTCAATGAGCAGTTGCCACCATTCTGAGCGTTTGGCGGCGGCTCCTAGTACCTCGCTGGCCGCGAATATTGCATCCACCATCACCAGGGCAAGACCCAACCTCTCCACAATAGAGTTAGGTTTCCCATCGTCGATCGTCCCCACCGGATGATGAACAGCAAACTCGACAAGGTGCTCGAGATGTTTTATGAGTCTCAGTAGATCGTCCGCTCCCAGCACAGGCTTCTTAAGCAGTTCTTTAATCCCCAGCAGTGCTCTGCCTTCAGATAACGTCCACCGACGAAACAGCTTCCACCGTTTTAGGATTATCCCTCTCACCAAAGCATTCGGTGAGACACTTGGGAGCCTGAAGAAGGGATGTGATGTGAAGTCTACTTCGCGCAGACCCTCCTGCGACTCTGAGTTACCTGAGAGAGGGGTAGATGCGAGAACCAAGGCTGGCCTTCCCTAGCGAACAATTCGATGGACACGGCACACAATCNGACACGGCACACAATCGCTCAGCTATACGCACTCCAAATGCAAGTATATGATGAAAAAGGAATGGCAAACGGAGACAATCTAATGTGGACAGTTGCTTTTGCAGGGTATGCTGTGCGACACTGTGCATCTGATTGCACACATGGGAAGGGTCTGAGATCTGATTGCAGATCTCAGACCCTTCCCATGTGTTTCTGGCCAGTCTGCATTTGTGTGCTCGCCGTTGTTTCTGGCTTCACGGAACCACTAGCTGCTCTCCGTCTCTTATGTCTAAGGAACGGTCGGACCGGTGCACTACAACACGTACGACAGCGCACCTGCAAATTGGAAATCTCGCTACCCAAGAGCATATAGGCACCCTTGGTGCCCGGTTGGCCGACTATGTACTTGAACAACAACGTCTTTTTACTCGCCGTTTGCGCAGCCAACAAATGCTCCCTTAGCTGCGTAACTGCGTCTCGAGGGAAACTCTGTACGTCTGAAGCCGGAGATGTTATGCCTACGGAGGACTTGCTGCACTGCAGCGACCCTTCAACTGGTGAAGCGCTACCGGCGGTACCCTCTTCTGGCAAATGTTGTGCCACTGCAGTATGCCCGGAGCTCCCGGGCACATCAGTAGGCCCTGCAACGGCGGACTCGCTTGTGGAGACCGACTTTGACAGCTCTTCGTCGTCTAAAAANCCTCCGCGAGTGTCTGCTCAACATACTGCAAGATTGACTGTCGGAGCTCTTCAGCAGCACCTCCCGTTTGTGTAGGCGCTACTGAGCGGTCTACAACATCTGATGGAATGCGTGAGGTCTCAAGTTGTTCCCCTAGCACTTCCTTCTTCTTTTTCTTAGGCGGTTCCCCATACACACTCCACCCTGCTGGCGCATCTGCCCCTGACGGTTCGGCAGATATTCCACGACGGCCGGTGGCTATGCCTGATTCGGATCCTTCAGCTCCGCATGCTTCTTGGACGAGGCTTCCACTCCCATGCTTTTTCGTTGCTTGTTCTCCAGCCAATCTTCGACCCGTGTGCTTTGGTAGGGCCTGCCGACTCAGAGCGACGCAATGGGACACCAGGAAGAGGATTGCAAAGATAGAAGAAAATGCAGCGATGGTCAAACCAATACGGCCGTTGTGGCGCTTGGGGTATAAGGAGCTGGGCGAACCTCCGTCTAGATCTTCGCGTGGTTGCTTGTTNAGCCCAGAAGTCTGACATGGATTGTTAGTTACGCTGTAGTTTCAACCACCATATATTGGTTTTGTTGGGGGTTCGAGGAAACTACTAGCCCAACAGAAGTATCCAACCCGCTTTATGTCGCTTCCGGGGAGGGTTCAGCGGACGCACTTCAAAGAGTGCTCAATCAAGAAAGCGATAAACTCACGTTTTTGAAGTTGCTCATAGCCGGTTAAAAAGAAGGGGAGAGACCTCGTGAGGAGACGTCGTCAGCGAGATCGCAGTGCGCGTAATATTCATTGACCTGTATTCCGAACTTCAAAAAATGCCTGTATCTCCCAAAATCCAAACAGGATCCAGTTCCAGGGCAGCATTACAGGGATTCCTGGAGAATTCATCTTATACGGGACGCTTATCCGTTCGTGCTACTGCGCAATGTGCGAGTGTCTGGGACTCGGTTCGGTTCGATGCGTCGAAGTTGCTGCTTTCCTGATGGAGACAGGAGGCAGGAGAAGCCCTCAGTCTTGGGTGCAGAGAACACTGCGAGCTCGTATAAGAACAGTAATATTTGCAGTGCAATATATTCTTGAAGTCATCCGATACAACAGCGGAAATAAGGAGGGGTGGGATCGTAAACCTTTGGCTGGTCCAGCCAGGCTTACGCTGGTCCAGCCGATCGAGCAAACTCCGCTCGCGTAGGATGGACTGGCAAAATGCCCAGCTCGCGTAGCATGGACCGGCAACGTGAGCAGGAAAAATTAATAGGGTTGCAAGCATTTGGCAATCCGGCACTGGAAAAGCAGTTTAGTGTATTGCCGGCAGTGCAGGTTGAGTGTAATGCCCTGATGTCCCACGGGGCTATAAAGGACGAAACGGATGAAATCACCTGAGCACGGTTCAAAAACGAGAATTTCTGTTTGTAGGGTGGAGTTATTGAAGTTTCAACCAGCAAGGGTATCGACCAGCACGGGTATCCGTAGACGCAAACCAGCTAGTCGACAGCCCGCCTGGATACCTAGGGTGGTGAAATCCTCTCTAGACATGCCCGAATAGCAAGGACGAAAGGACCTGAACGAGGTACGGTGTAGTTGGGAGACCTGGCATATGCAACAACCGGTNTTCCAAGGTAAAAGCGCGAGGGACGAGGTTCTGTTGGGTGTTGTGCCTTTCACCCGACGACGCCCTTCAGGACCGATGAGGGGACAGCTCCCGGGTGAAGACAACCGCTGCTGCAGCTGCTCAGCAGCGACTACCTACAGGTAGTCGCGGCTGGGCTGATGCAGATGGGCGCCCATCTGCATCATTTTTCTCATTTTGCCATGGTCGTCTCCAACTGGAAGCTATCGACCAACGTAATTATGGTGGTAACTAAGAAAGGCAAAAGCTCATCTAACAGGCAAGTCTATAACGACAACTAATGTAATGAAACTGGCACGTTTTAGTGCGGCCGCACTGCATTGAGGGCAGCAGCCTTGCGACGACCGAGCATCATGTACGCTGTTCAGGCGACTAAGCTTCGTCTCTGCAGGTAGGACACGTTTTGGTGGCGTTGCTACGAAATCTCTCGATCTTAGCTGAGAAAACGAGCGGGTTGCAATACAACCAAATTGCTCAGCCCAAGATGCTCACTGCTGGCCTATCCTCCAGGCTTCCTGGCAACAGCTGTAAAGAGATTCCCCCCTTTTAGCCGAGTACTGCCGTGAGCTGTAACATATTCGAAATAACTAAGGTAAAGGGTTTCTCAAGACGGAGCTGACCCCCTTGTGGCCCTGGACACAGCGGTCCAATGACCTGGGATTGATGGGGAAAGGAGCATCCCCTTCATGAGTTGCAGCACACCTTGGTACAATGCGGCCCCGAATACAGCGCCGCCTCGAGTGGAAGCTTATCCAAGCTTCAGTTGATGAGTGCACTTACCATGTAGGCAATTGTTACACGCTTGGCTTTCCCTCAGTAGCCAACCTGCACGCAAGGAGAAAGCAATGTACCAACTTCTGTCAGACGGCAGTACAGCAGTTCTGTGTTTGTTGACTCCATTGAAGCTCGGGAGGACCAGCAAGGGCTGAGGATTGCCGTGACACTGGGCGCTCCGACAAGCCCAGATCAAACATTATTGGTTCGTTTCTCCAGTTTCGTAAGTCCTTGAACACTGCATTCAGTAGACAGTGTCGCCCCAATGGCAGCGTAGCAGTATACCAGGCATCCTGACACATACTTCTTGAATCTGGAGGGCTACGATCTCATTTGTGCCCCCTATCAGCATGTTAGCCCGTTTGAGTCTTTTCTTCAAAACAGGTATTTGTTGCGAGTAATGGACGACACTCTCTCCCATTGACTGGAANGTTTGAGTCTTTTCTTCAAAACAGGTATTTGTTGCGAGTAATGGACGACACTCTCTCCCATTGACTGGAAAGGGCATGAAGCATTTTTGAACTTACGAACCATCCGTATTTGAGGCACACTACGTGTATAAGAAGCATGAGCACAAAACGATTTTTCTTGATCGTTTGATGTGTTCGGTGTTTCTTCTGATCTGCCTTTTTATTTGAGGTGCTTGTGGTGGTGTATTTTACTGAGAAGTACATGTTTGATAGGCAAAGGATTTCGAAGGAACAATTGATCTGTTGCCTAAATGGAGAAAATCATGACCACGATATGTCGAGATGCCGACCATCCCAGGCTGGTTGCAACTCCACGTTGGTAAACATAGTTTTGTGGTATCTGTTCTGTTCCGTGACAACGGTTATTTGCACGTCATTGTTTTTACGTCACTGACTCTAGGGACCTAACCCACTGTGCGAGTAATCGCTGCACGTGGGCGCACTTCAGGAGACGAGACCTTGTTCTAAACAGCTGTCAAAGCAAAGCTGATTCTGCCGCTCGCCGCCACAGGTACTCAACGGTAGCGTTGGACAAACCATGGGCCAACAGTCTACGTTAACTGCCTATACGGCACAACGGAATTTGTTCTGTAGCGCCGCTGACAAAAAGTTGGTGCCCACCTTGCGCAGCGTTCGGCCATGGGCGTAAGGGAGGAAGCTTCTCGCGCACTAAGCTGGCAAATGCGCTGTTAGCCGCCTAGTACGGAACACAGGGCCTATGAATTTTGTCCTGATGCTAGTTCCGTGAATTATCCTAACACATCTTTTTCTGGGAAGAAGAGACCAAGAGTGATGGCGAATTGTGCCAGCACCCCTGATTCTTTTCTAAAGGCACTACCAGTTAACAGGCAAATCCACCAGCAAGCCGAAGATTCAACCACTAAGCGGCAGGACACCCGTCAGCTAGCTAAATAGGCCCGCTCGCGTTCTCTGTGCTAGTGCACTACCGGTTTTAACAGCCTAAAGCGCGCCATGCCCGTCAGTCTAGAGCACAATACAGACGCTGTACACGGAGTCCCCCACTTCGGTTGTCCCAACAAAATGGCTGTCCTGCCGAAGCACAACCTAACGTGGCTGGCCTTGCTGTTAGAATTGAACAGCAGAGGTGCACGGTGGCATGTGCACGCGAGCAAAACAAACGATTTCCGTACAGTCGTTCATGAAGTTTGGCAATGCTCTAAACACTTCTCTTAGAGGGAGCTCCGTGTGTCTCCGAGCAGACAGCTGCGTCGTCTACAGTAGAATACTATGCTAGAATA